ACACACACTTTATATTACCTTCACTACCACTCGCTTGAATCAATTATCTGTCTCTATATCTCTATCTGCCATTCTTTCTCTCTGCTTTATTTGCCGGGCTTATATACTAAAAAAAGAGGGCACCTGGAAAAGACTTAGAGTTGCCAGGACAATTCACGATCCTTCGAGAATCTCATCACGTGACTTCTGCTGTCGTAACAATATGATCAATTTTTAATAATTGGTAATCAGATAATTTTACAAAAGGAAATAATGACATCCTCAACATTGTTTTACTATATTTTTTCCTTTTTTTCTAAACTATTCAAAACAATTTTCTAAAGATGGAGAAATTGAAAATCATCTTAGGAGATAGAATTTGCAACTTCATTACTGGTAAAACCCAACTGACCATTAAAATCAATAATCAAGGATTTTAGCCACTAGTTTAGCAATAAAAGTACAATGCAATTAGGAATTCCAAAAGGCAAAGTGAAATTCAATCTCAGGTACTAGGCCTTTGAACTTGTAAAAAAAAACAGTTCTTGAAATGCCTCTGATTACAGAGGCACTAACTATAGCTTTAAGAAAATTAATCTTTTCAAAAACAAGGAGTTTCCGTACCTAATGCCTGTCCAGAATCTTACCCAAGAACTTGGAAGTTGTAACTTAGGAAATAGAGCAACTGTGTAATGAAATAAGAAGTTATCACCACATAATGTCTGGAATAAACTATATAATGAACTTTATTGCAGCAAAATTGAAATTTTTTCTTTTAACCTAGGGTTCAATTGCCATTTTACATCACAGGGACTATTTTTAGTATCAAAATATATGAATGATTTGCTTCCACCTATCATTACAGGTTACCAAATGGTGATTGAAGTGGATAATATCTTAATAAAAAATATTAGGCATAATACTATTCAAACATCAGTGAAAATCCTAGGCATTATAGGTTGCTTCACGTTTTTTTTTTAGAAATGGAACTTATACATAACAAAGGAGGCAAGAAATACAGAAAATGTACACTCGGAGCAATATTGATGCCTAATTGTTATATACTCTAAACGTTTTTTGTGGTGTCACATGAAATAATATATCAAGAAAACATAAAACTAAATGTTTTTATGACTGTTGTTATGAATTTAAATATAGTTTCTCCTTCATAATCAATATTAATTTCTTATCAAAACAAGCTACCTACTGAGTTCAGAACTTCATGTACCCAGTAACAAGTATAGTAAATTAAATATAGTGTTGAAACTATATTACTCAAATGCATTGTTTCATCAGTTAGGCACCTTCATTGATATAATTACTTTCAGCCATTAACCCAATAATATCTTGCAAGGTTAGGCCAGCCCAGGAGGCTTAGTTTGGCCTATATCCATATACTAAGCAATCAATATAAAATAAACATAAAATCAAATTTAGAAGAATAAAAAATAAAAGTAGATATATTAAATATTTTAACCATCACAGTAAGTTTCACTTATCTACACTGATGTCCAAGTAAGAACTACCATAGTTTGGTAAAAGTTATACTTGGCTTGGACAGATTAGTTAATTTAGGCTAGTCCTAAATCCATAAACTAAACTAACAATGAGAAATAATAATTAAATAAGTTATAATAAACAATACTGTTAATGAAAGTAACCTCAGAGGAAGGAAAGGTTATTATTGTTGCTGAAAAATAAATACACACTGCCCATAAAATCTGCTATTGTTGAGAGAGCTACCCACTAATAAAACAGTGTCTTAACTCCTAGAAGGTGTGAAATTCATGTGACAGTTAGTCTTTCCATTATCAAATAAAAGTCAGGTTACACCCTCCAGGCATCACCTGCTCTGCTAGTTGTAAAAATGTTAATCTCATTTTCTATGCAATAAATTGTTTGTAACACTAATACAGAATGATCCAGAACAATAGGTAACTGGAGCAAAAGGAGATTACTAAGTTTCTTTAAACAACCTGCCTTGTTAAAACTATACACATGTCTGGAACAGTGCATACAATAAATTCTGAAAAATTCCCTTGAACTTTAAGAGTAAGCTATACTATGTAACAGGAGTCAAGAGATAATATGTATGCATCTGCATAAAATAAGTGATAAGACTCAACAAAGGTTTCAATAATAATAAAATTTAGAAAACGAAGCAACAAAATGGTAAATACAACAAATCAGTTTTGTGTGCAAAGTTTCTGTTTTTCTCCATCATTAAGGCTTTTACATTATCTACAGCACTAGACATATACTTATTCAAATTTTTATTAAAGGAGAACACCAGCACATTAATATTTATTAACCAATCATAACTGAGTCAGTCAGTATTAAAATTAAATTAGCCTATTAAATATAGTGAGTTACTTTTCAGATATTGTTGCTGTTTAACATTAGTATGAGACTTGTGTAAATATATACTCAGTATTACATACTTGTAGCTAGTATGATACTGACACTAAGCCATGTTTTAAAAGTGTCTTGAGATAAACTGCTGGTTTAAAAATCCAAAAGAAACAAAAATACATAAAGATTTGTTGAGTTTAGGAATTTTTACAGAAGTATCTTTGATACAGTCAAATTAACTATTTCTACAAAAGGTCCATGTGTCATCACTCAAACCCTAACAAATTTAGCTAAAATCCACATTTGGTATTTAGAGAAAAGTTATGGAAAGAAAAATATTAGTGTAAACTTGCAGAAGGCTCTGGAAAATATCACAGATATTAAATATACTTTTTTTTCACAGCCATTACTATAAGAGATGTTCAAGAAATTGCAGATGCCATCTAAACAAAAAAAAATGTGGGTGATCAAGAAGCTTTATTGCAAAGACATGTATGAAAAGTTTCTTACAGTATTAAAGAATGTGAATTTAAGAATCAATGAGTGGATTAAAAATTAACACTGATGTGCAAGGAAAAATAAATATTGTGATATACAGTGAACTAGTTGCAAGAACGGCTACCACACCTTTTTCAGTCTATGCCCAAAAATTACACTGACCATTTGTGTAAATGTTACAACCGCACTGTTCATCCAGCGTCAAGCAATCTACATGGACCATATTCCACCTCTGTGACAATGCCCAAATAACTTCAAATACAAGATGGATATATCCAAAGTGCCACAATTCAGGAAAGATGCTGGCAGACTCCTCAAGGAATATATAGTTTCTTTCTCTGTTGTACTATCTAGTTATACCTAAAACAAAACTGATTATTTGCATAGTAGTAACCATAGCATGTCCAGTGGAATATGAACTTGTAGCTAAGAATTTTGCTTTTTTTACTATTCAGTCACAATATAAATAGTTTTGTCCCAGTTTTCTTTATATCCATGATTTTATGCTAATGGGGTAAATGCAGCTATTCTTGCATTAAATTTCTGCATGTATTTCACATTTCAGTACAAACTTCTTAACTGCCATGTCAGTGCATCAGTTTTCTGTTTAAGTTCAGCATATGTCTACTGCCAGTTTTAAAAAATAGCTCATCAAAATTATTGATGTAGATGTTCCCATCATTTTACAGTGGAAGCAGATCAAGAAATTAAAAGCCATACTCTCTGGTGCTCTTTTAAAAAGAAATCAATTACTATTTTGAATGTCAAACTTTTAATTTGCAATTACACACTCCTATTCAGTAACTAACTATTCCTTCTGTCAAAAATAACAGTGAACATGTTGGAACACGTATTTTAACCATCCACTTATTTTTCATAATATTGAACAAGGTTGAAAATAGTAACCTACCAATTCATTTATTCCACTTCCTTATCATACTACTATATCTACTTCGTACTTAACATTGAAGTTTATTCCTTTCTTAAATACAGAGCAATTAGATGTCTTTTCTGAATATAGTACATTAATTTGCCTGAATCCTACCTTTCTAACTGGTTGCAGTTTAAGCAGGTGAAAAGTAGCTACTGCATTTTAGTTGTAGTCACATATGTATTTTATACATAAACTTACTATGCAATAGATAGTCTATTTTATAACAATCTTGTCAGGTATCACTGAGTGGTAGTTTGGTACATTGATTCACATTTATTTTGGAAAAGTTTAAGATATTCACAACTACACTTTGTGTTAATTTTAAAGAAGTCTGTTTGTTTGTTTTGGGCTACTCTTTGACCAACAAATAGTGGGATTGACCGTCACATTATAACACTCCCACGGCTGAAAGGGCGAGCATGTTTGGTGGGACGAGGTTTCAAACCTGCAGATTGCAAGTCAATCGCCCTAACCACCTGGCCATTTTTAAACAAGTCAATCAAGTTTGTAGTAACCAACACTCACAACTGTAATTTACAAACAAGTTTTCATTAAGGGGAAATGCATACACTGTGCAAAAATAACATCCATTTCACTCACATTTTTGTATACATTTGAGACTAATTTTTCCCAATTTTTCTTCACAGCTGAGCTGCGTAACTAACTAGTTATTATCAACTTCTACTAATAAATACAATGATATATATGCATTATACATGTATTTAGAGAATAATTTATGTATTTAGGAATTACAGTCCTAATTTGAGCAATTATTGAAGAAAGAACACATCTGGTTCAATACATTTATTTGAAAATTACAAATACAAACACATTACAAAAATAGACAATGAAACAATCCAAAAAACAACAACTAATACTTGGTTATGATATCATCCAACAATAAGTTCAATCACATATATGGCAACGTATAACTACCACAAATGTTTAGAAGCAATAGCAAGATAAAAGCAACAAGTATTTTGGTCCTCTTTCACAGTCATTAATAGTAAAAATATCCAAATTACATATTAAACTGTCTCTCAGAGATAACTTGCCTTTAACATATATTTCACTATTACATTAATATTTATAAAAATTAGTCATTAGAATGATCCACAGGCACTGTGTGCACTTCCACAGCATGTATGTAATTTAGTGGTCCCGTTAAAATGACCGTCAGAACTTGGTTATACTATATTGTTATACAAAATAATCAAGACTTTTGTATTTTCCAAAATCTTTGAACAAACATTTGTTTATTAATCACTTCAGTATAAATTTAAACTTTCCATAAGGAATGTTGCAACCTTTCTCTAGTGATACATCCATAATCATTTTATCAAAAATACACAATATTGTCGAAAAACTAAAGCTTCTGTATAAATGCAATTCAAATCTATTCATGGATTTTTCATGACCTTCAAATTGAAAAATCCACACTATATATAGATAATTATTCATGATTAATATAATTTTAATTATGAGGCACTATCTAACTACTTTTAATTCTTCACTGATATTGCCTAACATCATTTAATTCTATCAAAATGAACCAGAACTCTCAAAAATTCAACAGTTCCAGTAGGTGAATGTAAAAAAACAAACAAACAAAAAACTTTCAATTAGCCTTTATTGAGACAGATTAAAATATGAAAAACTGCTGTATTAGTAACATTATGACCTTGTTAACCATTATTTCTAAATCTGTATTTTAAAAAAAAATCATATCTATATTAACTAAAATTTGCTAACATATCTACGATACTATAGTAGAAAATTATTTAAATTTGTTTATACTTATTGCTTATGCATTTAAACAGAAAAAATTACAACTTGCACCAACTTCTTTCTGGCTAGTTTTCTACGTACAAAATATTTCCTACAGAAAGGAAAAGCTCTATACTCTCTTGTTTGATTCAAAGGACGATTATGTTTATAATTATAAAATTCTACAAACTTTAAACCGTTAATAATTATATTGGCCAATGTATTTTTTTACATTTAATCAGTATAGAATTATCCACAAAAATATTCCAATAAAAATTGTACTTAACATTACTTAAAAAAAACAAAAAAACATTAGATGACAGGCATAATGTAAAAAATAGATGTATAAGTAAAGAACAATCTAATATAGCATATATATCATTAATAGAAAAATGTGCATCTGTGTTTAACTGGCACAAAAATTTACCAAAAGAAAATTTAATGAATTAAAAAGGCTTTTTGATGCTTCCCAAAAATAAGACAATACCATATTTCAGATCACGGATCAGAAATAAGAATGGTCTATTAACAACAAAATCAATTTCTGGTGTGTAACGGAACAAAGGTAATGGTTTTTGAGTTGGTTCCTGTCCACCTTCTGCAATTTCAAAATAAGCTTTATGGATCATGGCATCAACATGAAGATCCTCCTTATTACTAATTCCAGATAGGTCAGCATTCTTACTGAAAAGATCTTTAGCTCCCATTTCTTTAGCCATTTCACCCAAAGATAAACTTTCTTCCAGTTTAAACTTTGGCAAAGAGACGCACACTTCCTCTTCATTCATCATGCGGCCAAAGATCATGCCCAAGGATAGCACCGATATCTCCTCTTCCAAGTACAACAAACCATCAACCTCATTAGGCAGAAGGATTACCATGGCAAGCTTATCTCCTATATAAGGCAGTTCCAATGCAGTACACTTCAGTTCAGGACATATAGAATATCTAAACTCTCCCTTCTTATGCATCATATCAACATCAACTGTTTCAGTTTCAGAGAGATAAAAAGGTACTTTTCTTGTCTCCTTAGGATCAAAGATAAAACCCCAGTTTCCTTTTAGGTATGCTGCATTAGCAACAACCATATGTGTTACTGAGCCAATAACACCCTGTGAAAAAAGCTCTTTTATCTTTTCTTCTGTTGCTCCTGCTACCCACTTGTTAATTTCTTGTCGTACTTCTTCATGATGAGCTCCAAAATCAACTTCTTTTGCATCAGCACCATAATATTTCTGCAATACTTCTTGAAATTCTGGGTAAATGTGATAATCTTTCTGTACAAATATGTTGTTTGCTATATCTAGGATGATGTTGGGTCCAGGAGACTTAATCAAGTTGAGATAGGCTCGATACTCCTTCTCGACATCAGGCTCCTTCATTCCTGCTATATACAAAGTATGCCATAGTTGTTCAGCTGTATCACCTTTAGCTCCTTCTAAGATCATTGCTAGTGCTGCAGAAATGCTGAATGGTGAGAAGAAAATGTTGCCATCTTTGTTTTTATTCCAGCATATTCGATAGAGATCAAGACCAAAATTATCACATGCAGAAGCTAGACGTTCCATTTCGATAAGGTTAAATCAAGCTGTAAAAAAGAAAATTGCAGCACACAAACACTATTATTAGTCATAATACCATCTCAATAACTGAAAAACCCATAGAGCAGTTTAAGTATACAGAAATATCAGATATGAAACGTACACAAGGATACTATTTTTTACACATTCAAGAAACACTGAATTGTACTCAAAAGACACGTGGTTATTAATAACTAGCATTGTGATATGACAGTATAAAATAACAATGAAATAATTTGGAAATTATCATGAATTCTGAAATTTATGTTAAAAATCCAACGATGTTACTAATGCATAAAGATTAATAAAGAGGACTTAAGCTAATTATTGTAACTTATCATACCCAGAAGATACGAGATAATGGTAATATTAATACAGTAATAACACAGATAATATATTAGTACTACTATTAGTATAAATAACAGTAATATGTAACACATTATGTAAGCCTACAAAACACCAGAAGTAAAAGTTAGAACTTTGAAATGACAAAGTTCATTTTTAAAAAGTTGAGCTTTTATTTTTAACAATTTCAAATTAAAGTTATTGCTTAATTTCTGTAGAAAAAGTTTAATGTCCATGATTTATTCATTTTAATGTATTTGTATTGAAGTGTTGAACATATATCGATACTTAAATTTACAAATTTTCAGTAATTTCTAAATCTGCCTCTCACAAACATGTGAAAAAGTGAATTTAGTTACTTTGTTTTTCTGTCCTTTTACTATTAGTATTATGTTAAAATGTTAGCCCTAACGATTGCCCGGCACCTAATTATGGCTATTTTTACCTAAGAAATTGTATTAGAAAATTTTTATATTATTAATAACAGCTAAAGGAAAAATATCGTTCTCAAGACATTAACATTTAAACACAGACAAGTAGTTGTAA